ATGATAATGTGATAATGATTCTTATGTTGTATGGTAGCTGTGAAGATGAAAAGAGTGTAAAATAAATTCTAGCACAGGTCCTAATTTTCAATAAACATTGTTGCTAAATAATGGGAGCTACTATTACCAACACAATGAAAAATGTAGAAGGCTGAACATTCTATGACTCATTAGACATAGTTTTAATAAATGCCATATTATATTTTGATGAAGCCGCATTAGCCAATACAAAGTGAGTTCCTCTTATTTCAGAAGCCAAAAGACACAAAAGCTTAAATAGCCATCTAAAACAATGGTGTCCAATATTTTGGCTTCCCTGGACTACACACAAAATACACTAACACTAATGATAGCTGATGATCTTAAAAAAAATTGCAAAAAATCCACAACTTTTCAAGTAAGTTTAGCAATTTGTGTTGGGCAGCATTCAAAGCTGTCCTAGGCCATAGCCGTGCAGGATCCGCGCCTCAGGTTGGAAAGCCTGATCTACAGGAGAGGAGTAGAAGTTTGGAAAGGCCTTCCTTTCAACCATTTCCTTTTCTTTTTTCTTTTGTTTAAACATAGAGTCTTGCTTTCTCACCCAGGTTGGAGTGCAGTGGTGCAATCTCGGCTCACTGCAAACTTTGCCTCCCGGGTACAAGCAATTCTCCTGCCTCAGCCTCCTGAGGAGCTGGGATTACGGGCATGTGCCACCACACCCGGCTCCATATCCTTTTAATGTGAGATTTTTAATCACCTTTACAGGCTCTTCAATAATAACTGATGAAGCAAGTCGTGACCAATGTAAAAACATATTTTTACAATGAGGCACTAAAGCGTCACACAACGTCTTTGGCAAGCTAGCTGAATTCCAAGATCCTGTGCTTTTTGGAGTTTTGAAAAAAGATGTGTGTGAAAAAGGTTATTATTTTAATTTTAACATTTTTTCTATAGATCCTTCTGGATTATCTAGGGTCACAATTGCACCACCTACAAAAAGGATAAATTTTTCTTTATTCTCTCTAATCTTCATGATTTTTTTCTTAATTTATGATTCTGGTTTGAGCCTCTAGTGAAATACTGAATAGTAGTGACAGTGGATAGTTTTTGTCTTATTCTTGATGTCAAGGAGAAAGTTTTAAATATTTCCTTAGGTGTGATGTTTGTCATGGGGTTTTTGTTATTGTTGTTGTTTGTTTTGTATATACTCTCAATCCAATTAAGGAAGTCCCCTTCTATTCAAATTGCTAAGAGTTTGCTTGTTTTTTAAATCATGAATGGAAACTGGATTTTATCATCTGCTTTTTCTCAATCTATAGAAAAGCTCAGATGGGAGAAAGAATAGTCTTTTCAGCAAATGGTGCAGGAGACAAATGAATATCCATATTTAAAACAATAAAATTGGGTCCCTACCTAATATCCATACACAAAACTTAGCTCAAGGTGCAAGACAGACTATAATATAAGTGCTAAAACTATAAAATTTTATTAGGTCGGTGCAAAAGTTATCACAGTTTTTGCCATTGAAAATAATAGCAAAAACCACAATTACTTTTGTGCCAATGTAATAGAAGAAAACACAGGAATACATTTTTGTGATCTAGGTTGGGTAATAATTTCTTGAATAAGGCTCCAAATGCACAAATAATAAAAAGGAAATTGATACATTGGCCCTCATCAAATTAAGATCAATTGTTTTTCAAAGGATGCCATTGAGAAAGTGAAAAGACAAGCAAAAGTAGAAAAAATATTTTCCAATAAATAATAATATGTAAATAATGCTTACAACGCAACATCATTAGTCACTAGGAAGTGGAAAGCCAAATCTCAATGAGATATCACATCACACTGAGTAAGTAGAAGGATTAGATAAAAAAGACAGACCATAACAAGTGTTAGTCAGGATGTGGAGAAACTGGAGCCCCTCATACAGTGCTAGTGGGAACGAAAAATGGGGCAATCACTGTGGAAAACTATTTGACAGTTCCTCAAAACATTAAACACAGAGTTAACCAGAAGTGCAATCTATTCCTAGGTATCTTCCTAAGGAAAGTAAAAATAAATATCCACACAAATTTCCTCTCACATGAAAATTCATAGAGGCATTATTCATAAAAGCCCAAAATTGGAAACTAATAAAATATTCATCGACAAATGAATGAATAAAATATAGGAGATCCATATAATGGATTATTATTTGGCAATAATAGGGAATGAAATACTCATACAAGCTACAAAATAGATGAACCTTGAAAAATTATGCTAAGTGGAAAAGTCAGACATGAAAGATTATGTGTTGTACAATTCTGTTTATATGAAATGTCCCGAACAGGCATTCCTATAGAGACAGAGAGTAGATTTGTGGTTTCCTAAGATGGTAGAGAAGGGAAAATGGGGAGTGATTGCTGATGGGTACGGTTTTCTTCTTAAAGTAATGAAAATGTCTTAAAAGTAGATGATGGTGATATTTGCCAACTCTGTAAATAAACCAAAAGCTATCATATTTTATACTTTAAACAGGTGAAGTTTATGGTCTGTGAATTATATCTCAATAAAGTTTTTAAAAACTAATATAAATTAATATTTTTAATTACTTAAACACTTTGTCTATTTACCTCTCGCTTACTTTCTAAAATAAAGTTTTTTTTTTTTTTTTTCAGTTTTAAGATAGGGCCTTGCTCTGTCACCCAGGCTAGAGTAGAGAGCAGTGGCACGATTATGATTCACTGCAGGCTTGAACTCTTGGGCTCAAGCGATACTCCCACATCAACCTTCCAAGTAGCTGAGACCACAGGCATACTTCCACATCCAACTATTTTTTGTATTTTTTTTTAAGAGACAGGGTCTCGCTATGTTGCCCAGGGTAGTCTTTAACTCCTGAACTCAAGTGATCCCCCTGCCTAAGCCTCCCAAACTGCTGGGAATACAGGTGTGAGCCACCACACTTGGCCTAAAAAACAGCCTTGAGATGAAATTTGCATGCCATACGATTCATTCATTTCAAGTGTACAGTTCAGTGGTTTTTAGTATATTTACAGAGTTGTGCAACCATCACCACAATTTAGCTTTAGGGTATTTTCATCTCTCCAAAACCTAACCTGTACCATGAACTGATAACACTAATCTACTTACTATCTCTATGGATTTACCTATTTGGGAGATTTCACATAAAGAAGTCATACAGGCCAGCCTTGGTGGCTCAAGCCTGTAATCACAGCACTTTGGGAGGCTGAGGCGGGTGGATCACGAGGTCAAGAGATCGAGACCATCTTGGTCAACATGGTGAAACCCCGTCTCTACTAAAAATACAAAAAATTAGCTGGGCATGGTGGCGCATGCCTGTAATCCCAGCTACTCAGGAGGCTGAGGCAGGAGAATTGTCTGAACCCTGGAGGCGGAGGTTGCGGTGAGCCAAGATCATGCCATTGCACTCCAGCCTGGGTAACAAGAGCGAAACTCCATCTTAAAAAAAAAAAGAAGTCATACAATATGTGATATTTCATGACCCCTCCTGACTTGGCATGTTACCATTGTCATTCCTTTTAACTGTACATTTTGGCAAACTCTGTGTTATATTATTATTTTGTAAAGTCAAGATTCATGTGGATATATACACTTAGGTACACCTTTGATATTTTAATCTTGGTTACACTGAACTTAAATTTATCTGTTAAAGAGATAAATCTTACAATGTTGAGTCTTCCTGTTGAAGAGATTGATATGTTTTTTCATTGATTTAAGTTTTATGTTCTCCCAGTAGCACTTTAAAATTTTCTTCATCTAGGTTCTCTGTATTTTTTAATTAAATTCATACCTATTGTTTCTTTTTGTATATTTTTTTCTTTTGGATAGTTGAAACTTTTCTTTATTAGAGTAGAGATGAGTGGTTTTGTCAGTGCTTTCTTTATGTGACCTGTATAACAGGTAATTTTCCCTTAAGTTTGATATACAATATAACTATGTATATAGATATATATGAAACAAGGAAAATTTATGACAAGAGCCAAATAGTGTTTCTTACAAAAAAGCCCAGTGATTTTATTTTTATCCAAATTTTAAAAACTGAGAAAAGAAAGGGGAAAACCAATGATGTTTGTTTTCCAAAGTTTTCTGGGAAGTTTTCTCATCTTGTTTTTTCTTCTCCATTACTTTACAGCTACATGGGCTCTGCTCCATGTGTGTTAGAGCCGAGTTCATCTTGCTTTGAGGACTTTCTTCTACCTGGCAATGATTTCTCCTCACATTCTGATTCTCTTTCAAATCTCAGTTTAAATGTCAACTCCCTTCCAAGCCTCCCTGAGTGAAGTGGACCTTTTCCACCATTTGCTTTCACTGTACTTCCTGCCCTGAGCGCTCATCACGACCTAATAACATCTATTAACAACTTTGTCAGTCTCAGACACAACGTAGATTCTCTAGTGCCCACCAGAGCACCTGGCGCATACTATGCCTTCAATAAATACTTTTCAAAAAAAGGAATTCAGATAAGGCAAATTTAAACTTTCAGTTAACTTACACTGAATGTATATGCCAGGCCCAAGTCTTGTTGAATTTTACATACTTCACGTAGCTAGTGACATCTAGTTAGCTCAGAAGGTCGCAGATTCAAAATTCCACAGTCATTTCTAATGCTATAAAATTTCTCCTCCCACTTGAGAGTCTTGTCCCGCCCCCGGTGTCTTCTCCACCCGTCGAGCTTCTGGGAGCCCAGGCAGGGTTACCCGGTGGAGCCTTCCGGGGCCGAAGCGCATGCGCAGCCGATCTGCACATGCGCAATACTCGCGCTGTCGCCGCGATCCCGGCCTGGCTGAGGTGGCAGGGGGCGGGACGCGCTGCGTTATGGCAGAGGGCAGTGGGGAAGTGGTCGCAGTGTCGGCGACTGGGGCTGCGAACGGCCTCAACAATGGGGCAGGCGGGACCTCGGCGACGACCAACAACCCGCTGTCGCGCAAGCTGCATAAGATCCTGGAGACGCGGCTGGATAACGACAAGGTAGCCGGGGCTGGCGGGGCCGGGGTCACAGGTTCCCGCGAGACTCAGCCTGGCTGGGGGCGTCGTCCATCAGGGACCCACCGCCGTCTCCCTCGTCTCTGCTGCAGAGGGAGCCGCGAGTGACCCTAGACCTGCGGGCTCTGCCGCGCTGCGGGCGCCGCGCGGGTGAGAAGGGGGATCCCAGCAACCTCCGGAAAAGCGAAGGGGTTTCCTGGGCGTTCTCTCCACTTGAAAAGGTGCCTTAAAGACTCTCTGGATGGGATGGGTGAACGGTGGCGCCTGGAAAAGAGCCCTCCAAGCATCCCTGGAGGCAGGCGTTTGGCGGTGTGAGCTGACAGGAGAGCACCCGACGCGGTAGGAAATAGATGCAAAGAGCAGATTGCAGGGTAAGGCCGCCCGAATGGGGGCCAGGGGACCTGGGGAGCAGTGGTAGGCGGAAGGGAGCGTTTCCACCGACAAGTGGCAGCAGCTGCAATCGCTTGCAGCCCTGAAGAACTACCTTGGCCTGTGGCTGAAATGAACTCATATCTACTGGATTTAGTTGTCAGCTAAGCACTGGCTATGATTGTGGGCTCAGGCCGTATTTCTTTGGAAGATGAACCGTCCGCATGCTTTAAGTACCTCCTGAAACTTAAATTGGACTGTGTACACTCCTCACATACCTAGCTATCTCTTCTCTTCTGTCACCCCGTGTCGCCGGGTAAATTGGTCATGACGGTGTAACGTAAAGAAGAAAACGTATGTCAAAATGAGAGAGTTTTATAGGTAAATACGAAAATAAGCTATCAATACAAATTGGACTCTTCTGTGTAAAAAAATGACATTGCAATGTAATCGATAAGAAAGAAGGGCTCTAGGGCCACCGCTTATTAGACAGAACCACTACATTTGTGCATTATGATTTCCGTAAGCCGCTTAGTTAACCTCAGCTTCTGTTTAGGAGTGGGGAATACTGCTAGTAAGTTTCTCATGGTCGTTATTTGAGAACTCAGTGAGAGACTCTAGGTGAAGTCCTTTGCAGAGTGCCTGGCCCTTACTGTTTCTTAACAAATATTAATTTTATCGTAAAATTTATGAAGTGTTTAATGTGCCTCATATTGATATTATAGCATTTAAGACTGCTACTCAGATGTAGATAACATGGCCCTCTGATTACCATGAGGAAAATAAGGCATGAAGAGAGTGCAGCTCGGTTGTCAATAGCTAGTAACTGGTGGAACTGTGATCTGCATCTGAGTCTGTGTGATTTCGTTCATTCAGCATTACTGACCACTTCTTTGAACCAGACCTTAGGCATTTCAAGGCTGTGGTCGAAAGAAACTGCTTTACTTTATGGGTTTTTTTTTTTTTTTTTTTTTAGGTACAGTAAGTATTTATAGTTGTAAACATATTTTGGCTTCCTCTTAAATATTAAATTGAATTTATATAATAGCTTTACTATTTTTGTCAGTCCAGCCAGTATTTCAAAATAACATAACAAACATGAAAGGATAAGCCTACTGGAATATACAGTAGTGGAGGTGTAGAAATGTATATCTGCAGAACTTAGGGTACTGTGGGGATGTCCTGGACTTGGTTCTTGGCTCTCTCCTCCATCCATGTTCTCTCTGTAAGAAAAATCTTTTGCTTTCATGGTTTTAAATAGTAAAAAGCATGATTACTCTCAAATTTATAACTCTGTTTCTGACCTCAGTCATAAATCCACTGAGGTCCAGATTTGTAGAATCAGTTGTCTATATTATACCTCCAATCAGATATGATTGACATCCTAGAACTTAACAGGGGTGGAACTCTTGACTTTTCCCTAAACTGGTTCCACTGTCACTAGAGAACATCATCAGGGCAGGGCACAGTGGCTCATGCCTGTATTCCCAGCACTGGGAGGCCGAGGCAGGGGGATCACAAGGTCAAGAGATCAAGACCATCCTAGCAACATGGTGAAACCCCGTCTCTACTAAAAATACAAAAATTAGCTGGATGTGGTGTGGACCTGTAGTCCCAGCTATTCAGGAGGCTGAGGCAGGAGAATCGCTTGAACCCGGGAGGTGGATGTTGCAGCGAGCCGAAGTTGTGCCACCGCACACCAGCCTGGCGACAGAGCGAGACTCTGTCTCAAAAAAAAAAAAAAAAAAATAGAACATCACTATTTACCCAATCAAACAAGAAGCATATAAGTAGTTTTGGATTCTTGTCACTTTTTAAAAAATATCTCCTGTCAGATCCATAAACATATCCTATAGGTTCTACTTTGAAAAAAAATGTTTGGAATAGCTTTTTTTTTTTTTTTTAAACAAATCTCACTCTGTCTCAGGCTAGAGTCCAATGGAGAGAACAAGCCTTTACTGCAGCCTTGACCTGTGGTCTCAGGTGATCCTCCTGCCACAGCCTCCCAGGTAGCTGGGCCTACAGGCACATGCCATCACACCTGGCTACGTTTTTATAGAGATAGGGGGTCTCACTATGTTATCCAGGCTGGTCTTGAACTCCTGGCCTCAAGCGATCTTCCCACCTTGACCTCCCACACATCTGGGATTACAGATGTAAGCCACGGTGCTGTGTTTTGGAGTATCTCTTTTTCATTTGTACTACTGACATCTTGGTCTAAGCCACTATCAAATCGTACTTGGATTATTTTAGTTTTTTTCTCTTACCTGCCTCCTTTCTTGCACCCCGCTACCATTCATTTTCCTTACAAAGTTGGAATATAAATCCGTATTCATTACTCCCCTGCCTAATACCGTAATAATTTCTCATAGCTTCAGTCATAACTTCCTTCTATCACTTAGGGCCTTTGTACTCACTGTTTGTTCTGTCTGAAGAAGGCTTTGTCCCCATGACTAACTGTGCCTCCCATTCGGCCTCAGTTCGAAGTCACCTCAGAGAGGCATTCCCCTTTAAGTTCCTCCAAGTTCTGCTTCCATTTATTCAGTTCCTAGCCTGGAGGCTTGCAGTACTTACTCTTCAATAGATCCTTTCAGAGATAGTCAATGTATACATTACGTATGTGTAAATAGGTATATGCAAGTAAGTATGCATGTATATATTCCTTTTAAGCTTTTACCTATTGGTATCATAACTATTTCTATGCTTTGATGTTTCACCTACCGTATGTCAAAACTCATACCATGTAAGTGCATAAATTTTTTTTTGTAGTTGGATATATCATAATTTATTTAACCAATCCCTTAGAAATGGACATTTAAATTATCTCTAGTCTTTGCAATTCCAAACAATTCTGCAATGAATAATCTTGTTTATATAACATTTTATACAAGTAAGTGTGCCCTTATTGTGTCCAGGAAATAAGTATGTTTCAGTAATTTGAAGGTCATTCAATATTTTTCGGATTTTTTTTTTTAATTTGTATTTGGGCTCTGGGTTACGTGTGCATGTCCTGCATCCTGCAGGATTGTTGTATAGGTACATACATACCACAGTGGTTTGCTGTCTCCAATTTCCCTGACAGTCGCCTACATCAGGCATTTCTCCTGGTGTTATCCCTCCCCATCCTTCCCTCCCCACTCCCGCTGTACCCCTCCCTTCCCCCGCCCTGCCTAGCCCTGTGAGTGTTGTTCCCTTCCCTGTGCCCAAGTGTTCTCATTGTTCATCACCTGCCTATAAGTGAAAACATGCGGTGTTTGGTTTTCTGTTCTTGTGTCAGTTTGCTGAGAATGATGGTTTCTAGGTTCATCCATGTCTCTACAAAGGACACGAACTCATCATTTTTTATGGCTGTGTAGTATTCCATGGTGTATATGTGCCACATTTTTTTTTGGTCCAGTCTATCATCGTTGGGAATTTCGGTTGGTTCCAGGTCTTTGCTACTGTAAACAGTGCTACAATGAACATATGTGTGCATGTGTCTTTATGATAGGACAATTTATAAGCCCTTGGGTATATACCCAGTAATGGGATTTCCCGGTCAAATGGAATTTCTATTTCTAGATCCTTGAGGAATTGCCACATTGTCTTCCACAATGGTTGAACTAATTGACACTCCCACCAGCAGTGTAAAAGTGTACTGTTTTCTCCACATCCTCTCCAGCATCTGTTGTCTCCAGATTTTTTTAATGATTGCCATTCTAACTGGCATGAGATGGTATCTCAATGTGGTTTTGATTTGCATTTCTCTAATGACCAGTGATGATGAGCATTTTTTCATGTTTGTTGGCCTCATATATGTCTTCTTTTGAAAAGTGTCTGTTCATATCCTTCACCCACTTTTGAATGGGTTTGTTTGTTTTTTTCTTGTAAATCCGCTTTAGTTCTTTGTAGGTTCTGGATATTAGCCCTTTGTCTGATGGGTAGATTGCAAAAAATTTTTCCCATTCTGTTGGTTGCCAGTTTACTGATTATTTCTTTTGCTGTGCAGAATCTTTTAAGTTTAATTGGGTCCCATTTGTCTATTTTGGCTTTTGTTGCCACTGCTTTTGGTGTTTTCGTCATGAAGTCCTTGCCTGTGCCTATGTCCTGAATGGTTTTGCCTAGGTTTTCTTCTAGGGTTTTTATGGTGTTAGTTCTTATGTTTAAATCTTTAATCCATCTGGAGTTAATTTTTGTATAAGGTGTAAGGAAGGGGTCCAGTTTCAGCTTCCTGCCTATGGCTAGCCAGTTTTCCCAACACCATTTATTAAATAGAGAATCCTTTCCCTATTGCTTTTGTCCAGTTTGTCAAATATCAGATGGTTGTAGATGTGTAGCATTGCTTCCGAGGCCTCTGTTCTGTTCCATTGGTCTATATCTCTGTTTTGGTACCAGTACCATGCCGTTTTGATTACTGTAGCCTTGTAGTGTAGTTTGAAGTCAGGTAGCATGATGCCTCCAGCTTTGTTCTTTTTGCTTAGGGTTGTCTTGGCTATATATGCTCTCTTTTGGTTCCATATGAAGTTTAAAGTGTTTTTTTTTTTTCCAGTTCTGTGAAGATCAATGGTAGCTTGATGGGGATAGCATTGAATCTATAAATTAATTTGGGCAGTATGGCCATTTTCATGATATTGATTCTTGTTAACCATGAGCATGGAATGTTTCTCCATCTGTTTGTGTCCTCTCTTATTTCCTTGATCAGTGGTTTGCCATTCTCCTTGAAGAGATCTTTTACCTCTCTTTTTTTTGTTCTCCATTTGCTTGGTAAATCTTCTTCCATCCCTTTATTTTGAGTCTGTGTGAGTCTTTGCATGTGAGATGGGTCTCCTGAATACAGCATACCAAATGGGTCTTGACTTTTTATCCTGTTTGCCAGTCTGTGACTTTTGATTGGGGCATTTAGGCCATTTACATTCAATGTTAATACTGTTATGTTTGAATCTGATGCTGCCCTTTTGTTACTGGCTCTTTGTTTTTACTGTTAATTGACGTGGCTACTTCATTGTGTCGTTATTCTTTACCATTTGGTACGTTTTTGCAGTGGCTGGTCCTGGTTGTTCCTTTCCGTGTTTACTGCTTCCTTCAGTGGCTCCTGTCAGGCAGGTCTTGTGGTGACAAAATCTCTCAGCGATTACTCGTCTGTAAAGGATTTTATTTCTCCTTCACGTATGAAGCTTAGTTTGGCCAGATATGAAATTCTGGGTTAAAGTTCTTTTCTTTAAAGATGTTGAGTATTGGCCCCCACTCCCTTCTAGCTTGCAGGGTTTCTGCTGAGAGATCCGCTGTGAGTCTGATGGTCTTTCCTTTCTTGCAGGGTTTCTGCTGAGAGATCCGCTGTGAGTCTGATGGTCTTTCCTTTCTTGCAGGGTTTCTGCTGAGAGATCTGCTGTGAGTCTGATGGTCTTTCCTTTGTGGGTCACTTGACCTTTCTCTCTTGCTGCTCTTAGGATTTTTTTCCTTCATTTCAACCTTGGTGAATCTGACAACTATGTGCCTTGGGGTTGCTCTTCTTGAGGAGTATCTTTGTGGTGTTCTCTGTATTTCCTGGATTTGAATGTTGGCCTACCTTGTTAGGTTGGGAAAGTTCTCTTGGATAATATCTTGAAGAGTGTTTTCCAACTTGGATTCATTATCCCCGTCACATTCAGATACGCAGATCAAGTGTAGATTAGGTCTTTTCACATAATTCCATAGTTCTTGGAGGCTTTGTTCATTTTTTTCACTCTTTTTTCTCTAATCTTGCCTTCTCATTTTGTTTCATTGATGTGATATTTCATCTCTGATATCCTTTCTTCTGCTTGATCAATTCAAATGTTGAAACTTGTGTATGCCTCATGAAGTTCTCCTGCTGTATTTTTCAGCTCCATCAAGTCGCTTATGTTCTTCTCTAACTAAGCTGGTTAAAAATTCTAGTTAGCATTTAGTCTAACTTTTTTTTCAAGATTCTTAGTTTCTTTGCATTGGGTTAGAACGTGGTCTTTTAACTCAGAGAATTTTGTTGTTACCTACCTTCTGAAGCCTGCTTCTGTCAATTCGTCAGATTCATTCTCTTTTTTTGTTCCCTTGATGGTGAGGAGTTGTGATCCCTGGGAGGAGAAGAGGTGTTCTGTTCTTTGATGGTTTCATCCTTTTTGCGCTGTTTTTTTCCCATCTTCCTGGATTTATCTACCTTTAATCTTTGAAGTTGGTGATTTCAGGAGGAGTCTCTGAGTGACTTTTTTCTGTTGAGGTTGTAGCTGTATCTTTTTTGGCTTGTAGAGGGCGTTGCTGGGCTCTCCCGGGTTCAGTCAGGTTGTTGGGTGGGTGGTCCTTCCCTGGAGTTTGTTTGCAGGTGAGATCGGCCCCGCCTTCCCAATGGCGTCTCTCCTTCCCCAGCTGGATCTTCCTGGTTGGTGTCAAGCTGGTGTTTTTGCTGCCAAGCTCTCTAGCGAGGGCTTCAGTTTGAGTTCCGTGGAGGTGGGGCCTGCCAAGCTTATGGTCTGTTTCCCTGCTTTCAACTCTGCCTCCCTCTGTGGGACGGTCCCTCCCGCTGGCGTTAGTCCAAACTCCCGCCCAGGTCCCTGGAACAACTTGGTGCACTGGGCAGTAGCCGCTGCTCAAATTTGCATTGACTACCCACGTTGCCCCACTGTCTGGCAGGGCTCTCGTGGACCGTGGGTTGCAGGAGGGATGAGTTAAGCACAGGATCTGAAACGAAGCACCTAGGGGGTTAAGTCCCTCGGTTTCAGGTGGGGACGCGTCCACCCCCCACCCCCTCCTGTCTTGATTTGCCCCCAGGCAGCTCTCGCCCTGTGACTCCTTCCCAGGGCCTAATTTCAGTGCCTTATCAGTCCCACAGAAACGAACCCAGCACCTCGTTTGGAATTGTGAAGTCCTCTAGCCCTCTGCGTCTTGTTTGCTGGGAGCTGCATTCCGATGCTGGCTTCTTTAGGCCATCTGTTTGGATTGTTTAATAAAAAATCATTTGAAAATGATTTCATTACATTTTGTCTTGAGATTTGGAAAACATTTAAAAATTAGTTTCAGTAACTTTCTTGTGTTACTAATTGTGTAGGAGATGTTAGAAGCTCTCAAGGCACTTTCAACCTTTTTTGTTGAAAATACTCTGCGGACTCGAAGAAATTTACGTGGAGATATTGAACGTAAAAGTTTAGCCATCAATGAAGAATTTGTAAGCATTTTCAAGGAAGTGAAGGAGGTACGTAAGCCCTTTTCACTTAGCTTATATTGAGAACTTACTCTATGCATGGCTCTGTGCTATATATTTTTTTGAATTAGGTTGAAATTTTTGCTATATATCATAGTATATGTATATACTATGCCTAAACAGAAAACTTAGCTAATGTCTCTTGTTGCATCTGGGTCTTTATTTGTATTAATGTGTAACTTCCACAAATATTAGTTCTTAGAAAGTTATAACATTATTCTAGAAGATTATCTTAGGAACTTTAGCTTTTTTTAACAAAAAAATTAACATTTCCCTGAATGGCTTTCCAATAGAAATATCCCCCTTTCTTGGATAACAACTTTTCTGTTGGAGATTAATTAGAATTGAGTTATTTTACTGTATCCTAAAATATGAAAATATCAGATTAAGATCAGTAACTTCAGTGTATTAATAATGATTCATCACACTTGTGAGTGTAGTCCACTCACCATAGGGTGAAATAAATTTTATTTATATCTTACTTATGTAATATTTTATTAACTATTAATATATTATAATAATATATTTCTGTGTGAGTTATAGAAGTGTTATACATGGTTTCAATGAGTGTTTAATAAAAATAGATTGCTTTTAATAACTTGATAGGTTTTTATTGACTGAAGACTAATAATTTAGGAATTTTTTTTTTTAATTACATTGGAAATGGAAACTTGCTCTGTTGCCCAGGCTGGAGTGCAGTGGCTGTTCTCAGGTATGATCATAGTACACTACAGCCTTGAACTCCTGGGCTCAAGCAATTCTTCCACCTCAGCCTCCAAGTAACTGGGACTGCAGGTGCATGCCACCATGCCTGGCTTTTTAAATACCATTCCTGCTAAAAGGAACAATCTTATCAGTATCAGAATGCAAAGATGCTATCTGAGACTACTGGATAAATGTCAAAAGGACTTTGAAGCTAATGTGAAGAGGATTCTACTGGCCAAAGATAGGACTATTTGATGGTCAGTAAATACCTACAATTGAATAACACTAAGAATAAAGACGTATTCATTTTTACAAAGCGTTTGCCATTTTCCTGTGATCGTATTCTCTGAAAGGAATGGACTGTTTTCTTTATATTTTTTTCTAACACTAGATGTTATTCTTTTTAATAATTTCCAATTTTAAATATGGGATCTCTTGTCATGCCTTGACAAAAAAAAAATTATGGAACGAAAATAAAGATTTAGCTAAGAGAAGAGAATCTTCTTTCTGTATCAAAGATGTTTGATGTTACTTTTCTCCTTTTCAGGAGCTTGAAAGCATAAGTGAAGATGTTCAAGCAATGAGCAGCTGTTGTCAAGATATGACAAGTCGCCTGCAGGTATTGTCTAATGCTAGATTTTGACATAGTTTCTGCTAATGAAGTCAACTTTCAGATATTATTAGGTCTACAAAATGTATGTGTAGCTAATCCATCATGTCCTGTGGGAAATTTGGATATAAATATAATGCTTATTCTTTAAAATGGTAGATATCTTTGTGTTTCTTTGGACAATGATTTATTAATATTGTTCAATTAACTTTAGAGTCTTTATATTTTGGTCTAGCCAGTACAGAGGTAACTATACAGAATTTTGATAAACCTTTTAATTCCATAATATTCTGGAAATCTGGGAGGAATGATTTTTTTAGTAAGAAGCCTTAAGAATAATTTCACTAAAGCTGTGCCTTATAAAGACCCAGCTTACTTCTGACTTACGCATGGCCTAAACAAAGTCTCTGAAAATATGTATTATTTTAGGTCTTTTTATTAAAACAGTCCTAATCTTATAATTTGGCGTCAGAATCAGCATTTGACTTAATTCCCCTCATTCATCTGGTTTTGGAATAGTGCATAGAACAGTTTCCTCCTAAGGGAGGATTGATTATGTCTACTACCTTCACATTTTAACGGCAAGCTTTTATCTCTAAGAGTCTCCTGGAACCATTGGCATCAATAGTGATTCTGGGAAGGATCATTAATCTATGCATAGTCTACAGATTAATCACAGGACACTTGTAGCATCAGTTTGCAGGACTAGTTTATTTCTTGTTTCTCCAAAATTTTGTCTTTTCTGGTCTTGTCTAAATTTTGATATTCTTACTAACCTATTAGATATTATTGGCAGACTTATTGTCTCTTAGTCCAATCTTTAGATATTTGTTAATTTGACAATATTTAAATAATTGTATAATATATACTAATTATTTTTGCCATTTCACATTTTTGGCGCATATTTACTTTGTTCCTCCGTGGCTGATTTTGTTTTTCCCTTCTTTTTCTTTAACTTTCTTTTTTCCTTTTCTCATCTTTTAGCTTCCATGACTTAATGACTTTTCTCAAATTATACTTTATAAGATTTTTTATATTGTACTTTGGTGTTTTTTAAGTAATATTATGCTTTGTTAGATTACTTGGCTTCCGATTTTTAGTGGTAGTATCTCTTATTTTTTAATTTGTACTTTATATTTTTATACTTTTCATCATAGTGAGTTTTAAATGTAATAAGATCATAGTATTTTTATTCTTCGTGCTATTTCGTTTATAAGTATTTTAAATTACAACCCAAGTGTCTCCTTTTGTTTTGTCCTTTGTATTTTCTTTTTTTTTTTTTTTTTGATAGGAGAGTCTTGCTCTATCCTCAGTGGCATGATCTTGGCTCACTACAACCTCCACCTTCTGGGTTCAAGCAGTTCTCCTGCCTCAGTCTACCAGATAGCTGGGATTGCAGGCACCTGACACCAGGCCCAGCTAATTTTTGTAGTTTTAGTAGAGATGGGATTTCTCCGTGTTGTCTAGGCTGGTCTCAAACTCCAGACCTCAAGTGATCCACCTACCTCAGCCTCCCAAAGTGCTGGGATTACAGGCATGAGCCACCGCACCCGGCCAGTCCTTTATATTTTCTTTGCACCTACCTCACATCCTATTTTTTCTTCTTTGGTGGCATAGGCCTATTTTCTTTCTTTTATCAGATCACCTTTATTGAGGAATAATGTATGAATGGTAATAAACTGCCTCCATTCAAAGTGTTCAAACTGAAAGTTTTGACAGTTTTATACACCTGTGAAACCACCACCACAATCAAGACACAGAACATTTTCATCACCTACAAGATTCTCTCATAGGTTTTTAATTGAATATTTAAATTATTTGATACTGCCTGTTGTTTACATTCGTTTTTGATCCACATATTATTTCTAATAGTAGGAGGTCCCTGATTTTGAAAGTTTTGTTTATTCCTTCAGATTTTTCTTAAAGCTAATTTATTTGGATATAGTACTATTGGAATTCTAATAGTATATGTTCATAATATCAACTCTAAAGTGTTTAAGTTATTTATTCATAAAGAAAGTATTTCTTAGAGTATCCTCACTCTTCCTTTTTCTTATAGAATGTTGTTATAATGATTCATTTAATTATTTAATATTTTCTGAAATGCTTTGACTGTAGTACCTTTTAGAAATTGTTAGAAAACATTTAAAATGTAATCAGTAGCTTTATATGTGTTATTGTTTATTCCTTTGTGATTTTGCTTGGATAAATTACATTTAGATGCATATGTTTATTATTAATTGAAAAATAATCATCTTTAACATTTATAAAATTGAAGATAATGATCTTCATTAATATTATTAAATATTACTTTGGAATCCTTACCATAGCTTATAAATGAAGAAATCAAGAAATATGCAAAAAAATTTGTAAATTTTTATTATGTAACATTGTGTTAAAGTATCATATTTCACTGATTAATAAATGGTGTTGATTGTAAGGTGCACCCTCAATAATGACTGGACTAAAAAGCTAGTAAACGCTTTCTGATATTGACTTCATGAAGTGTTCTTTTTTTCAGAAATATTAAAATGTAAATATATCTTTGACTTGAGGGGATACTATATTTTAAAAATTGTATAAGGCAGGAATGTACAAGGGTGGAAATGGAACTTTAAAGCTTAAGAAGTATAAGCATTTGAAAAAGTTGTTGGCAGTCTAATAATTCTGCAAGATTACCTTAGGAACTCTCATGTTGAACACCATTCCTTAAAAGTCAGTGAGATAGCCGGATGTGGTGGCTCACACTTGTACTTTCAGCATTTTGGGATGCTGAGGCAGAAGGATCCTTTATGATCAGACTGGGCAATATAGCAAGACCCCATCTCTACCCAAAGCTTTTAAAAAGTTAGCCAAGCATGGTGGCACATGCCTATAGTCCTAGCTATTCTAGAGGCTTAGGTGGGAGGATTGCTTGGACCCAGGAGGTCAAGGCTGCAGTGACTCAAGATTGCACCACACACTCCAGGCTAGACGACAGAGTGAGACCCTGTCTCTTAAAAAAAAAGACATAATTGATATGCAGAATTATGTAGGTTCAAATCCATTGTCTTAAGCAATCTGTTTCCTAGGAACTTACACTCAAAATAGCTTCATTTGAGGTGGCGATCAGACTCTTATTGACAGGATTCCTAGAAAGCAGTAACACAAAGAATTTCCCTCACAGTTTGAAAACTGAGTTTGTAGAGGATTAGGCCTCTAAGAACCCAGAACTGGAGGTGTCTAGGTCTAAGGCAGCTCTAGAAAGAACCCTTAGCAGCAGAAGCTTGCTTCTTTATTACCGTGTTCAAACACGAGAATGACCCCGTTTCTTCAGGTATTTGCTCTGGCATTTTCTCTTTAACAGGCTGATCTTCTATTTTTTGCTAGTTTGCTTTACTAGTGACTTAACTTATGCATCTTTCGGGCTCATTTAATACTCCTTCAAGGCCTGGACCCTATTTCTCTACCTTCCTCATGACTGTTTGCTTCTCTTCTCATCGTTTACTGCCTTACTTATGTAATATTCCCTCGTTCAGGTCTTTGAGAGAATCTCATTTGCTACACACTTGTCTTTTTTTTTTTTTTGAGACGGAGTTTCGCTCTTGTTACCCAGGCTGGAGTGCAATGGCGCGATCTCGGCTCACCGCACCCTCCGCCTCCTGGGTTCAGGCAATTCTCCTGCCTCAGCCTCCTGAGTAGCTGGGATTACAGGCACGCGCCACCATGCCCAGCTAATTTTTGTATTTTTAGTAGAGACGGGGTTTCACCATCTTGACCAGGTTGGTCTCGATCTCTCGACCTCGTGATCCACCCGCCTCGGCCTCCCAAAGTGCTGGGACTACAGGCGTGAGCTACCACACCCGGCCACACTTGCCTTTTTTTTTAAAGCCACTTCATGAATGTTTTCTAATCTTTGGAGAAAATGCTTTTTTAATCGACTTTGCGCTCTTGTTCCTTTCAACCCTGGCTTAAGAAAGGGATCATTGCTTAGAATGAAAGTTGGTTAGGTACAGCCTTGTGTCCTTTAGATGGTACTAGCCCTGATCCTCACCAAAACCTTATATGGCAGGTAGTTAGTGTATTACAACTCTCAAACTTTTACCTCCATCTTACACATTTCTATTAAGCTCACTAGCATTTCAGTGACTTAGTTAACAACCCCGTGTAGAGGTCTCGTGGTATCTCAGTTCAACATGTCCATAATTGCGGTCATGTTCTTTATTCTTAACTTGTTCTTTCAGTGCTTCTGTTGCACTAAAACACTTGATGAACTATTAAGTTCCTTAGCATCTGAATCCCTTTTTCTTTCTTGTAAGCCTTCGCATTATTGTGTCTATTAAGAATGAGTGTGTTCCTGCTAGTAAAGTAGTGGCTGAGCATCTACATATTTCATTTTCTTACGCTTTTCTTTTGAATTTCATAGAGTGATCTCATTTAAGTCTAAATTTCAGTAAGGGGTAGTATTTGTCTTCTAAAATACCATAAAATTGGAATGTACTTATATTCGATATGTTTATAATTTTAGGCAGCAAAGGAACAGACTCAAGATTTAATAGTAAAAACCACTAAGCTTCAATCTGAAAGGTAAGTTTGTGTTTTTACAGCCACCTTTTCAATAATTTGGAGATTGGATTTAAAGAAAATTATAACTCAATCAAAATTAAAGCAGAATAATAAAAAATATGGTTCATAAGGTCCTAAGCTATTATATTGTCCCATAGTCATTTAAGCGTAAAGTCAGTAGTTTAGGAGCATTAAATTTGATATTGAGGTTGAGAGATTATTCCTTTTTTGGAATAGAAGTGATGATGTATTGTTACTGTTTGCTGTGGATTTGAGAAATGATTGCTTTTTAAAATGTAAGTGTTTTCATATTTAATAGTTTTATTACTATTTTTTCACAATCATTGTCTTTTATTTTTAAGCTGGGATTTATCTGCTCTAGTATAATTAAAAGTTAATTGTATAAATTCTCCTTGTAGTTTATACAATAGGTATACTATTGGTTGATTGAATGAGTGCATAAAGGTGAGTACAATATGGGTTTGTGTAAAGTGTTGTGTTTAATATTGCTAAAACTCATTAACAATCCATCTCTCATGTGTGCAGTAGTACAGAGGGGGAGAAGCATTGTATTATGATGCAGTATACCTGTCTCCTTCTCAGTAGTTGGGTACATCACTTAAACCTTGTAGTATTCTAGGTATGTCATCAGTAATATGGAGATATTACCACTTTAACTGCTCATTTTGGGGCAGGTGAATATACTACAGTATGGTCCACAGGTCATCAAACTATGGCCACAGGCCAAATCCAGCTCACTACCTGCTTTGTGAATCCAGTTTTATTGGAACACAGCTATGGTTGTGTTTACATGCTGTCTCTGGCTGCTTTCACCATACTGTAGCAGAGTTGTGTGGTTACAATGGAGAACATATGTGCCTTACAAAGGCACATAAAAAATATGTACTATCAAGATTTTTACAGAAAAAGTCTGTGACTCCTGATCCAACTGGTGTGTTTTGTAGTTCAGGTCAAGATCAATGGGTTCCAAATTATGATTTACCTATCATTGTTATTGTTTAAGTAGATCATAACCAGCCTTAAAAAATAAATTAGGATAAAATAAAACAGAAAATACTTTGGGTAGCTGGGCATGATGGTGGTGCACACCTGAAGTCCCAGCTATTCAGGAGGTTGAGGTGGGAAGATCATTTGAGTTCAAGGTTGCAGTGAGCTATGATGCTGCCACTGTACTCCAGTCTGGGTGACAGAGTGAGACCCTGTATCTTAAAAATAAATAAGTAAAAATAATTTGGGTGAATATTATTTTCTGAAGCCTTTCTTTCTGTTTCTGGTAATGGTTTTAAATGGTTTAATATTATGGGTCATAGTCAAGAGTTTGAAAAATACTGCCCTAGACCCATGGCAAGTGCATGACCCCCAACTCCTTAGTTTCACATCCATCGATCTTGACATTCTTTTATATTGAGTCCTTCACCCTTCTTAACACAGTTCTCTTCAGACTAAGATTGATGAATGGCAAATTATAAAGGGCGAGTAGGTGTAAATTTACTTGTATAAGAGGATATCATGCGTCTTAGGGCTGCAAAGAACTCAGAGATCAACTGGAACGATCCATTGCAGTTAAAATGGTAACCAGTGTAATTTACTTTTCTATCTTATAAAAACATGCAGAAAATGTGATATGATCAGCAAAATAAAATATATGTACCAATATTATTTTTAAAATACCATCTTTAATAGCACAGAAGAAGCAAGCATTTTCTTTACACAAATAGGAAACACATTGTTGGGTACTGGGGCATGTACCTTGTCTTAGACCTGCGGCTTTCAAACTAGGTCATCAAACCTTAGGGTGTCTTTGTAAGAAGTAGAAGGGTGACAGAGTTTTGGAGGTCACATTTTCTCACTCTAATTTTAGTTAGAGCAATTTCACTTTTACTCATTTAATATAATAGGATTCTATGTAAGATTTTGTTTGAAAAAAGGGTTTGACAGCAGGAAAATATAAAAATATTGCCCAATTTTTAAGACCAGTTGAAAGATAGAATACCAAATAAAATGGTCTCTTGATTTTATTCTTCGTGCCAGAGAAAAATCGTAAAAAAACGAAGTATCAAAGCTTTATAAAAGCTTAATCATAATTTCATGCATTTATATCTCCATTTTTTTACTAGTTACTGTCTCTTTCGCTAAAATCCACTTTCAGTTATTTTGTGATTTCTACAAGCCAAAATGAGAGCAGGTTGATGTCTTTCTCAGATTTATAGAATTGGAAATTGCCCAGATAGAAATTAATTTTAGGAAGTCTGGCCTTAAATTCTCTTTTATCTTCTGGATATTGTCCTTCTGTATTTTATCACTGGATAAACAGTTGTGCCCTCACATTGGTGGTTAACTACTTGATGTTGACCTGTAAGTCAGTTTCTAGTACTTTTCAGAGCACCTTCAATCCAATCCTTCTATGTTTAACATTTAATCAAAGAGTTGAGAGTATATATAGACAACTTACTTGGAAAATTGTGAGTGACACAAACAATGGAATGTTAAGTGTAAGATTTCAACAGAATCAAGCTCTTAAGAAAAAACGGGGCTGGGCAAGAGGGTGAATAGGATTATAAAAGGCCTCAAAAAATGATGTAGGTTAAGAAAAACCAGAACTGTTTATTTAGAAGTGTAGGACTAAGAGGGACATGATGGCTCTCTTCAAATATTTGGTGATCTTTCCTGTTTAAAAAACGGCTAAATTTTATTATGTATTGCTGCTGAGTTTGAACTACGTTTTAAAGGAGAAATCTACCAGTGGCAAATTTTGACTTATGATAAGCAAGAATTTTTTATCCCTTAGGATTTGAACAACTAGTTCTTCAAAGCTTTTTTGTTTAAATCACTGGAAGTATTTAGTCTGATATTAGGTGTCATTGGAGCTCTTTTATTTCAGTTTTCCTTTCTAATCTTTTATGTTACCATTCCTGTATCCCACACCTTATTCCAGTAAACATAAGAACCACCAAGGAGCTTGATAAAATGGTAAGTTTTGGCCTCCATCCTCAGAGAATCTGACTGAACAAAGTAAACTCTTGTGTTTTTTGATTAATGACTCAGTAAATCTTGATTCAGGCTCAGGATTCTGCCCTTTTAGCTGTATTCCAGGTATTTTTATGCAATGGTCCAGAGACTAATTTGAAAGGCCTGGCCTTAGACAAAATATTATTCATATTTTTTTGTGTGGTATTTCCCTCTCCCCCCACCTTAATTCTCTCATCTCCTTGAAAACACATTTTAACTTTTTAAAAGTTAATCTTTTTTTGAGATAATTATAGATTCACATGCAGTTGTAAGAAATAATACAGAGATCCAAGGTAGTCTTTACCTTGTTTCTGCCAAAGGTAACATTTTACAGAGCTATACTATGGTACCACAACTAGGATAATTACCTTGATACGATCTACCTGTCTTGTTCAGATTTTGCAGTTTTACTTGTCCTCACTGGTGTGCGTATTTATTTTCATACATTTTATTTTATCATGTGTAGATTCCTGAATGCACCACCATAGTCACGATATATTACAGTTCCATCACCACAAATAACTCCCCTGTGGGTGGGTAGACAGTGGTGAGAAAAGTTGTAGACTAAGCCCATGTGAGGCATGGTTGACCCTGCGAAGCAGCCAGCTCTGTAGGAAAGGCAATGTTAAATTTTTTTTTTTATCAGAATTAAGCCTGTGCCTTCACCATGCAATTAGATTGCGTTTTATATTATAATAGTTCTTTTGAAAGAAAAGTTTTGTAGAAAAACATTCCCTATTAGAGACCTTGATGTGAATTTTTCTCTTAAGTTAATGCTGAACACAAAAACAAACATTATTTTAATGAAAATTGCGACTAAAACCAAGATAACAGCTCAGCAATCCTGTATGCAAAGCTTATTTAAGCTTTTCCTGTTCTCAGGAACTTTGTTTTCCATCGTTAGTGTAATATGTATTACAGCTGTTTACAATTGTTGATTTGATTGTCTTTTTTTCTCCTAAACCATGAGCTCCTTGAGAACAGTGACAATTTCTTATGCTCTTTTTTTGTATTTGCAGTGCCTGGTATTTTACAGATTCAATAAGCAATTTTTAGTAAATGAATATGGAAAGCAACTATAAGGTCAGGAAAGGAATATAAAGTGAAAACTGAAGAATAAGCATTGTATATTGAAGCCTGTAATATGGGGCTCTAAATAATGTATACAGGAGACAATATTAGAACATTGTGCTTCTGTTCATGTATTCTCAAAACTATTTAAGCACGGTTTATATTTATTATTTTAGTAAGCCTGTGGAAGTGTTTTGGGCTGATATGCTTTTGGGAAGTGAAAATTCATGACATTCTAGTATCCCAAGAGCTATAGATATGATGTGCCAAGTGAACATTTGTGTGAATATACTTTAGGAAAATTGCATAGCAGAAATTATGATAACCAGCCTCTAGGGGCTGGCAGGGAGTTGTTTTTTCATTTTAAAATATTATCTTTTTAACAAGAAACTTCATGAAACACGAAGATAGCTTTAGAAGTGGAAATACTATGGGATTGCTTGAGTAATATATTCTTATTCAGACAAATGTATAAATGATATGACTATTTTTCCAACTGGGTTGGAAGGCGGGCGGTCATCACAGCTCACACGCTGCAATTGGTAAAGCTCAGTGTTGCATTCTCTTCACAGGACTGCAGCTTGCATTTCCCTTTAATATTTCATTGGTAGTCAGAAGTGGGCTTTATTGATGGTCAGGAAAGGCTGTGTGTACATGAACATACCTTTGTATTTTTTAAATACTACTGAAATCACTATTAAATTTTTATTATCTCTTATAAGATTCATCTCTGAACTCAGAAAAATCATCTCTGGAGAATGTTTATGTGTGTTTATTTTTTTAAGTTCAATATGTGAAAATGGAAAGAATGTAGGAATTAAGACAAAAACCTGAATTTTAATCAAAACCTTGGGTAAGAGATTATTAGATTTTTTATTTTGTACAGTTATTTCTTAACTTCCCTTAGCCCGAGTTTCTAT